ACTCGAGCCCTCGGCAAATAACGGTGCAGGCAATGGGAATTACGGCGATCGGACACGTCGACTCTCCGAATTGCGAAGCTGGTGCGCGCAGGAGTGCGAATTGTGTAGAATGCCACCCTAAGGCTCGGGAAGGTCCTATAGGAATCCATTTTGGGTTTCCTCATGTCGGTTTCATCCTTCTAAGTGTTAGAAGTCGATACCGCACACGCGAAACTCCAAAAGAGGACGGAAATAGGTCGAACTAAAAAACGAGGTGGGCACCATTTCTAAGGTTCTAAGATAGTCAAGGGAGGTCCCTAAGGCTAGATCCTAACTCCTACGAGGAATACTAGACCTCACGAAAATTGAGGTCAACACTCCCTACATAACCAAAAACAGAGTGCATTTTTAATTGCAAAAACTGGCAGAAAAAATCCCTTCTTGCTCTCCAAAATACTAATGAAATCCGACCTCATATTTTCTGAAACAAAATCAATAGAGCAACCGGGTTAGAAGAATTTTAAAATGCTCAATTTTTCCTTCATTTCAAATGAGCAAGTTCCACTGCAAATCCTTTAGATTCAAATTACAAATGTTCACATTGTTTCAAGAATTTGTATTTTACTAAAATCATTTCAAATTGCTTAAAATTGTTTTCCATTTGCTGAAATTACAATGGTTGTTTTTTAAGCTTGTGTGTAAACAAGTTTCACAACATATTCCCTAAGATAGATATTTTATATTGCTGAAATTTGTGAATGATTTTGAGATCAAATAATAGCAAAAGTTGGAAATTTTTTTGGGATGGAGTTTGCAACATTGAAGAAAGATATATTTGTTAATCAATGGAAACATATGCATGGCCTTCTTAATGAGATAAGTTGGTTGCAAGGTGGCTAAAACACACATTCATCCTAATTAGAAATTATAATTACAAAAAAAATGGTAGGAAGACTAATCTACTTATCTTATACACATTCATATAATCTGATTATAAACCCTCCAGAATTAAGTCATTTTCATGTTGTCCACAAGATCACTCTCCAGAATCCAGTCACTTTCATGTAGTCTATAAAAACAATATAGCATACTTAAATGATAATTTCATAAAAAAGGGTACTATTTAGACATCTTCAAGTCAAAGTATACATCAATGCAAATTTATCAGGAAAAATTAATGAAATGGAAGATTAACATCTAGTTATTGCACCTTTTTTGGAGAAAATTTCATCGCATGGCATAGTGAAATGGATAAGGTGGTCTCTATGAGCAATCCTACATCTGAATTTAGTGCCCATACAAATGGGATCTATGAAGCAATATGGATCGAGAAGATTATGGAATAATCAAAGATCTCCATTTCATAACTTCTGAAGCCTTACTTGGATAACAAGCAAATATTTCAAAATCTCACAATCCATTTCTTCATGACAAAACAAAGCATGCAGAAGTTGAGCACTCTTTAAAGAAAAATTTGAAAATGGCATAATCTGCATGGCATTCATTCCAACAACAAAACAAGTTCCTAGTATTCAAACAAAGGGACTTCACAATAAATAAAATAATAGCTCAGTCGGAAAGCAATGGGAGATAGACACAAACCAGATTGAGAGGAAATTTGGACAAATCAATATGGAGATTTTGGCTCGGGCAAGAAACAGCGAGAACATGCTAAATGGAAGACTGGCTACTGATAAAAAAAAAGAAAGGAATTACAAATATGGATGGCAAGTTTTTGATGAGGCAAGGAATTCAAAAATAAGATCATAACAATAACTGCCTGACCGAACCATTGGGAACCCTCCTCTCCCAATGGCCGAGGATTTGTTTTCTTAAGCCAAAGGGGCATAGTTTTGTGTACATCCTTTTCTATTTTTACTTTATAGTTCAAAATGTACCCATTGCAAGAAAAAAAAAAGAAAAAAATCGGGATCTGATTCCAGACAGGATTATTTTATTTGATTCACCATGTAAATTAGGAAATAATGTCGGAATCGTACAAGGCCTTCTAATAGTGTGAGAAAATAATAAGAATTCCTCTATGTTCTTACTTGCAGCATTAATACTATAATGCAATCGAAGAGTTCAAAACTTGTATTCATGAGCAACCAAAAAGCCCAAAAGTGGAGGCATGGCATAAGATGGAAAGCAACACAATTGGCTTAAAAATATGTTGGCAACACCAAAAGAGTCGAATAAAACGCATCTGTTTTGCAAATAAAACAAAAATAGTAGACTCCCAAATCTATAACTTTGACAATGAACGTGTACATCTATGAAAAGATAATTTGCAAATGAATCAGATTGTACATTTTAATGTTTGTTCAAGCTGCTTTCTGTAAGGATCTAAAGGCTTCTAATGACAGAGATAACAAAAACTAAAACCTAGGAAAAGAATATAAGGATTAATTGACATTATTACCTCATTCTCAATTACAGCAATCCTCTTTCCATGCTGGGCAGTTAGAATTTGGTTTAACAGAGTTGTCTGCATAGAGATGACAAATATATCATTTCCAAAACAACAGTGAAGCTCTAGGAAATAAATCGAGAATAATCAGAACAAAATACTAGAACAATCAGCATTTAATGAACCATTAGCCAACTTAAATATACGCCAAGTGAATTACAATTACTGAAGCAAACAACAAACAATTAACTAATAGCCTCCTTAGAAATATTGCCAATGCCGAGTGAATTATAATTTATTAAACAGCATGATCTAGAGCTAAATCTAATCTAAAAAAGAGAACAGGTCTGTAATGCAGAGTTTAAGGTTGTGTAATTTACAATAACCGATAATTACAAGAAAGCTAATACATGCCAGTGAATTTTCCAAACTATTTGGAAAAAAACTTTTATTCTTGCATTGAAATAAAAAATAAAATAAAATAAGAAGCTCAAGGAAATTTTACTATGGTAGGTACATAACAGCCGGGCCAAGAAAGAGGAGGACAACACAGCAACTGATGATGGAAAAAAAAAGACCGCCAAAGGCAAAGGAGAAAAGGTCTTCAGCATGGCATCCTGACATCCAAGTGGATAATAGGTAGAAAGAAGTATCCTCTAAAGCAACTAACAGAAAATTTTCAAGAAGTTAGAATTTTATTTGGGAATACGGGTGTCTTAGCATGAATAAATGTGGAGAAAATGATGCATAAAAGATTGTGTAACAAAAAAAATTTATTAAAAAAATATAACCTTTTTCTTTTTCATCTTATCTATTCTATTTTTCTTTTCACAGGGCCTCTCTTGCAAGGCTCTAAGTTATTTTTTATCCCTACCCACCACCGTGAAACGTTGCAAATACCTATTATTTCATGATCTTGTTGAGCCTTCCCAAGTGAGTATCATCATAGAACAAAGAATTGCTCTTACACATCTCCACTATATCTATAGTTGGCCATACATGATCAAAAGCCAAAATCCCTCGACATCTCCCCATCAATCAAAAAACAACTCTAGGCCCTTCATTAATTAATACGATTCTAGCTACAGCTGGCGTAGTTGGAAGTGTACAAGGAACAAACAAAACAATTAAAGTAATCATAAAATAACCCAAAAACATGACACTTGGTGAAAACTATAGTGAAAGAAATCCATGTAGGTAATCCATTAAAAAATATGCACAAAATAATCCCTCAATATTCAAACAAAAACCCCCAAGCCATGCAAATCAAACAATGCTATGAATTCCACAAACTCACTAACAGTGAAAACTTAGCATAAATGTTGTTCCATGTGGTTGGCCCCACGAAATAATGGTTCAATGGCTATCCCGGACTAAAAATTTCATGAAGCAAGTTTCTCACCAACCTCAGCAATCATTTGGCCCATCCAAAGATTGCAACTTCTAGGGAGAACTAGACAAAATAATTCAAACAGCTTTCATAGTAGATCATCTAATCCAATTCAAATAGATCTCAAATCACATTATCAGGATAGGCGAACTATCTAACATACAAAAAGAAGTTCACATTCACATGCCAACCTCTCTAGACCAAGAAATCCAATCCAATTGCCAAATAAATTGTGGATAAGTTACACAATGGAAACTCAATTCATACCTCTCCACCACCCACAATTGCTCTAATTACAAGCTTTGCACCTACTTCCATTACCACCGAACTAGACATCTAAAATTCACTACCCATTACATGATTAACCTCTATAGAAGTGATAAAGAGACAAGAAAAGTTTATACACAATAATTATGACAACAAATTTAATAAAAATAATATATGCAAGGGGAAGCGTTAAAAATGATGATTATTGATGTGACAACTCCTGAGACACATTTTCATGGAGAATCTTATTGCTTCTGTATCTACAACCAACATTGAACCTCCAATCAAACCATATCTAGCAAAACCTTCACGTACAACCCGGCCAAACACCACCTAATAAATTCCAAGTTGAAGGTGAACTACAGCATACAATGGTTCAGTTATTAATTCATGAAAAATTGACAAAACTTTGTGTCTTATTTATGTCTCTCGCCATTACTCCTAGGTAAGTTTTCTAAGTGCAGCTCAGCAATGTTAATACCATGTTGAACCAATAAAAATGTCTGAATATCAAACTACATCTACAAAAATACAACATAGTTGTCAACTAGCATGAACCTCCATTTCAAGGCAATGTAATTGTGTTGGGAGTCCAGTGGCTACAACTGCTCAGCAATGAAACCACCAATCACACTTCCCTCTTTATGAAATTTAATTAGCAAAGAAATAATCATGGAACTGTACATGGAATGTGGAAACTCAAAATTGAAAGTTTCATCTTACCACTAACCTATCTTCCTCAATCCTCTTACTCATCAATTAAAAATGACACAAACAACTCCATGTCAACTGTTGGATTTGAAATCAAGCAATAGTTATAAATTGTTACGCCATCGCAATTGATGATAAAATGCTAGATGAACATCACAAAAGTATAATTATCTCAAAATTAATCCTGCAGCAGGACACCACAAAATTTGTATAGCAGATGCAAACATATGAATGAGGGCACATGAATTTGTTGTCACTAAATTTGAGTCAGCATATGCACCAAAAATATTGAAAATCTTATTAGACATCGTATTTGAGAAAATTTGTGATTGTTTTCTTTGAGATGCACTGGTGTTTGGTGACTCTTTGATAGATCAGATACAAAATTTGCAAAGAGTTCTTCATTTCCTCCAGCAACAAATTCCACCAAAGATACTCCTAGTGCTTGATCGTCCAAACACACATTTAATACTTAGAGCATATGGTGGATGTGGGCAATGTCAGTCAAAATCAAGAGAGAATTGCTATCATGCAGGAGTGACCCATACAAAGACTAAAAAACTACATGTACTCCTCATCTTACTAAGATATTATTGCAGGTTCGTAAAAACTTTATAAATAAAGTAGCACCTCTAATCACCATTTTCTAAGGGGGAAAAAAAGATGTCTTGCCATGAGGTGAACAATTTGAAAAAATTTTTGAGTTACTTAAATAAGCTTTAGCAACGTCCCAAATCTAATCATTACCCATATTTGTAGTCATCATCATCAATAACGACGCCTTTAGTGTTGAAATTTGTGCAATGTTGTCCCAATGTAAGCAACTTGTGGCATTCTACAAAAAAAAATTGACATGAAAAAGCAACAAGAATCAACCTAAGTTAAAGAGACGTTCACCGTGAAGGTGGTCTCATGATGGAGGAAAGATTTGATTCGAGCAAAATGCACTAAAAGAACACATAACAAAAGCATTTGTGAACCCTTGACTTCAGTGATGCAGCATAATTATGTATCATATTTAAGTTGTTGAGTTGATTGCTACATTGAACATAATATGGGACGAAATTATGTCTCTTACTTAAGTTGTAGAGCTGATGACTACATTGAACATAATCTGTGATGAAACAACATGGAAAGAAAAGCTCTCTCTTTCTCTATATATACATATATATATACATATATATATATATACATATATATATATATACATATATATATATATATATATATTGGTGCCAACTAAGACATGGGAAAAGACTAAAAACCACACCAATACCCAACCTCATAAATAAAAAAAGTGAAATTTACACACACAACACTCAATTCTTATGCATTTACCTATCTCACACCCAAACTCTCATTTTTACAAACCAAGCATCCAACTTACCTTTTTCACCACTCTCCAATAGTGAACTCCGCATTTTCATCTATAGGTGGGGTGTTGATTTCGTAAAAAAAAGAGTTTGGGTTAGAGATAGGTAAATGCATAAGAATTCTGTGCTATGTATGTAAATTTCCAAATAAAAAAGAAAACCAGAGACTACCTAATCTAAGCTCTTTCTCACCAACAAAAAAACAAAATGCTAGTGTAAAATCAGAAATGACAAAGTAATAGGTGTCATCCACCAATTCTTAAAAATTACACTAAATATCTCATTTTAGATGAGTTTATCATCAAAAGAGGATGCATTATGTTATCCATAACTTTATGGAGCATCAATCTTACAAGAATTCCACTTAGATGTCAATGGCAAACACAACGGATTTCACCAAACATTTTAGAGAATGGCCAGCCAACTCTACCAACCCAAGCTCCAACAGAACATACATGACTTCATATTTTCTCTGAAGCCCGTTCGCAAGACTAAAAATATTACTATACCGTTATAGGTCCATAAATCTTAATGATGAGAATCTCCCATACCTTTTTTCTTTATGTAGATATTAAATTGTTCTCGAAATGATCAAATCAGAAAAAGGAGGAAGGCATCCACTTTGCATGCAGTAGGAGAAAGCTTCTCAAATAGCTGAAGACCTTTGATGATTGGGGTAAAGACAACACGCAAATAATCAGAAAAACCCATGACATTCCTATTCTTCTACTAGGAAAACGACAGGGAAAACCTTCACCGGGCTATCGACACATCAATAAAATATTAAGAAATCACATTCAATTTTCATGAATATAAAATAAAATTCAAGTCTTTTCGGCATAACATAAGATTTTCAGCTAGATTGTGTTGCAAAATGTCATAACATTCCATTTGTAAGATAAATGTAACTGTAACAACAGTTATTTGAGACCTTCCCGGAGCCGAGAAAGCCAGTGATCACAGTGGCAGGAACCCTAGCATCAACATCGAGAGCGGAGGAGACAGCCTCGGCTAGGTCAAGTCTAGGAGTGGAACTGGCGACCATTGACCTCGAATTGGGGGGACTTAGTTTGTTATAGGAGGAGGATTGCTTCCCAACAGTAAATATATTTCCGGTGAGACAATGGGAAAGTACACGAGAAGGATGTAGGAATTGGTTTAGAGCGTTTGAAGCTCTTCCAATCACAAATCTTGCCACCATCTCCTTGTTCGCGCGGCTACAATGGCAATTAACAGAATTTCGATCCCGCGGAAGCGATTATTTCTTCGCGAGAGAGGGAAAGAAGTTGAACCTCGGGATAACAGGACAGGATTTAGGGTTTTGCAGTGGAAGAATTACTTTCCTAGTTTATCTTTTTCATAATAATATCCCTAGAATTAATATCCCTAGAATTTAGTTGATTTTTATGTAAATTCCCACTAAATTATTATTATTATTATTATTATTATTATTATTATTATTATTATATGTATGTGCATATGTAATATTTGGTATAAATATATTAAAAAACTCATATAAATAAAAATTTCAAAATGTAATAAAAAACAATCTTGTCAAATTAAAATGGTTTCACTAACATTGTAATATATTATAAGTAGAATTCTTAACTATGAAAAATAGCATCCATTTGAAATTTATGGTATAATCAAGAGAATGAGAATGTACCTTGGGTCATTTTAAAAATATATTGAATCTAAAATTTATTTTATTCAAATCAAAATTATAATAATATATTAAGATGGAACAAATATTTTTTTTTCTTTTTAGCAAAATCTTAATAATATAAAAATTAAAACATGTTTGATCTTTTTTCTTTTAAAAATTAAAACATTTTTGTTGTATAAATTATGATATCAAGATTTTTTAAGATCAAATGATAATAGTTGCAATTATGAGGAGACAATAATGAAGTGATAAGAATAATAATAATATTATTATTATTATTAGTTTTGAAAAAATAAATACACAAACTAAGCTATAGTGGATTAATCATAAAAGAGCCTCTATCCACTTAAAAGTCCTTCTCTAAAGATTGACACTATGTCTTCTTCACTCTTATAAGTAGAGAAATATCTAAAGACAATCCCTCCTTATGGAATGATGAAGCCACCCTTGCTTCTATTCAAAGTGAAAATCATGCTACTCCTAACACTATGGGTCATAACATTTAAAGTTGAAAGTGTTGAATTATCAGATACTAGAACAATAAACTAAGAGTATAAAATATACATCTAAATATGCATATATTTTTTGTGTATCATCTGGTAACCAACTTGATTATTGATTAAAATGAGAATTAATTGATTAAATATAATTATAATGATCAATTAGCTTGTTATATTTTTTTTAAATCACCATCATATTTTATTTTAGGCACTCGTAACTTAGGAATTGGAAGAAATATATTTATAGTCTAGCATATGATATTAAACTCATATAATTGATATTATTATTATTTATTAAACTTCATTACATATTTATGTATTACTACTCATATATAATCGATTAATTGAATACAAATTTGTGTAGTTATAGATAGCCAATATAATAATACTATTTTGTATAAATTGGATTGCTCGCATGCAACATATTAAACCCGGTACTATTTCTTCTTACACTTATTTACATAAAATTATAAATCTAAATAGATAGTATAATTAATATTATAATTGATTTATTTAATATCATAGCTATTTTCATTATCATAATATACCCTTTACATTTCATATTCACTAAAAGAATATAGTTAAGAAGATTTTTGATAATCAAGTAACACTTTACACCAAATTCACCCTCGACTCAGCGTGTCCATTCATTTTACAAGTGGTACTGGAGTGATGGCTCTTCTATTTGTCTTAACATATATAGTATTTTGAATGGTCTTTTAGCCAAGATATCTTTTAACTACCTATATTTAACAAACCTTACTTTTATTTTTGGATACATGACATGTTAAATTATTTGATGATGTTTTATTACAAGTTATGTCATATTACTTTTAAGTATTGCACATCATTTTTTATATTCTAAGAAGTTGATATCATATTTTAAATAATGAATTTGTTTTTATCGATATCTAGTCTATCCAAAGAAAATTATACAAAGCACTTATTAAAAATTTATCATGCATATTGTGATGTTCAAAAATTCTATACTTTAGATATATTTAAGAAAAGTAGAAAGATGATTGAAAAAATAAAATTTTCTTGAAGAACACGAACAAATCAATTAGCATAGAGAATTCAAAGCACTCTTCTAATGAACTAAAGAAGGATAAGAGGGAAGAAAAGAAGATGAAAGGCAAAAAAAAATAAGAGAATTAAGTTACACAGAGCTCGTGTAGTTTTATGCTTGAATATAAAGAAAATGAAGAAAAAAACACACATCTCTGTGTTGACCACACTTTTTGTTGAGGTTTAGTCTTTCTTTCTTAGGAGCCTAGGATCTAGCCATAAGACTTTCCTGTTGACTGTCTTAGAAGACTAGTGATGGAGCCCTCACAATTATAAATTCCATATGCTACTTTGCTCTTCTTCGTGTTCCACATTTTAGTTCTAACCTCTGACACTTAGTATGATGTAACTAATCTTAGGAAACTCAAGAGGGGTTCCCCTTAGGGTTGAGCCTGAGTGATGTGGCTTAGTCTAGCACACACACACTTGCACTTCATACTTCCACTTGCAACCTTGAACCCTAACCTACACATGTCTAGTTTGGTTCTCTTGCCACTTTGGAGACTCATGTGGGTGGTCCCCCAAACCCTTAGTCTTTGGCTAGGGTGGATAGGACCAGCACATGGAGGATCTAAAGTGGGGTTTCTCTAGTCTCATGGCACCATCAGGGTAATTCTTTAATCAACATTTCCATCAAACCTCAACCCAACCAAAATTTCAAATTTTGGCCTTTTAGCCCTAAATTTCCCCAAAATTACCAGATTGCCCCAGGAACCCTAAGAATTCAAGGTTGACCCAAATCCCTCAATTTTATTCAAAATTCATTTTAAACCATTTCATACCATCCAAATTACTCAAAGCACTATAAAATTTTCTTTTTTACCAAAATACCTCTAAATTTATCAAAATTACCTAAGTGCCCTTGGTGGCCCAAAATTTCCCAAAACCTCCAAAATCATTTCAAACACCCTTAAAAACAATTCTTGACCATCCATTGGGTCTAATTTGACCAAATTGACCCATTTTGACCAAAATTTCAATTTTGCCCCTAAAAGCCCAAAATCCTCAAATCTCCCCCACTTTCCATCAAATTGGTTTCAAATTTCCCTAATTTCAAATCTACATCTAAATTCAACATGTTTAAATTCCATTTCAATCAAATCCAACCCCAATTTGTATGGCCCATTATCAATCTCCTAAATCAAAATCCATCATGCATGTTTAAAAAGCCCATACCCATAAGCATCTCTAAAAGCCCATTCCATAAGATTGAAAAGCTCAAATCAAAGCCCAAATGACAAAATCCATTCATCATCATCCCATGGTAGTTAAATCACTCCATCATGGCATCATATAAAGCATATCATGCATGCATTTGATTTCTTACCCAAAGTAGGTAACATGGCATAATTTCCCAAAATTCATAAAAAAAATTTGAAAATTCCTTTTGCATGACACTCAAACATGGCATCATACACATCATGAAATATCTCATGGAGCCTTCCATAGCCATCCATAAGTCAAATTTGCCAAATTTGGCTAGTGGAGGTGACCACTCTCACTTCACTCCTCCACTTGGACTTTTCCCTTTCTTGATACATCTAACTCACTCTCCCTTGCCCAAACCAGCTAATTGAGCTCGCCAAAACCTTCCTTGGGATTAGCCCAAGCACCCTAACCACTTTGGACCAGGTCTAGCCATGTGACCAAGGGGCTGAACCCAACCTAGCCAACTTAGCCAAAACCTCACTTTCCCATTAGATCTTCACCTTGGAGCCACCTTGGGACCAAATTGATCTGGCCCCTCAACCTCTTTGACTCAACTGAACTTGGAGGTGACCTAAACCTGGCTAGCCGGCCACCTCAGTCGCTAGGAAGCCCCATGACAGTGGGCCAAAATGACTTAAACCCCAAAACTGAACCCCCTAAGATGTCTCATTAATTTTGGTCACCAGAGCTTTCCTTCCCTCCACCTAAGTAGCTCCCCTGCCACCACAGTTGGCCCTAATAGCCACCACAACCTCCTTTACAAATAAGACCACCCCCACGACCAAAAGAAGTGTGTGCTCAAACCTTAATGAAACTTTGCCAAAATTCTCCCAGACTTCCTGGCAACCCTAAGTAGATCCCAACCATTTTTAGCCCCTCATCTCCATTGTAAAACCCTAATTTCACCACTGAAATTCAGTGGTTTTCACGGTCATACCACCAAGTGCCTCCAAACTTCAAATTAATTGTAAATAAGCTTTACCAGAGCCAAAGAAGATTTCCTCAACCAAATCCCGATCATTTTGAGCACTCTAACCTAGCCCTAGTCCAAGGTCGAATCACCCTCTAGTTGAATTCTTACTTGGACTCAATCTCAGTTCAAATTGACACTTGGAGGAGGTTCGCCAGCTCACAATGAAGCTCAATAACAAATCCAATTTATGCTACACCTCTTGTACTAAGGTATGGACCATTTTCCCCCAAACCGAGCTCAATTTAGTCATTTGTGAAGTGAACATGTATTTCATTCTTGAATAACTGTATAGATAGGTTCGATTTGAGTAGATGAAACTTTAGAAATAAACCTCATGTGTTTTGGTTTGGAATCAAGGGAGAAATTAGGTTAGAAAATGGACAATTACGGTTTAGGGCCATTAGGGACGATGACTATGAGCCATCTGATCGCACGTGTATCGAAAAAATGGATCAGATTGAGCCGGAAGGATGGATAAAACATGAAGCGCGGGCTGAGTCAGCATCTACGTAGACAGCAGTATCAAATGGCGGAGCACCGCTTAGTAGTTTGGAGCCGTCACGTGTTGAGGTGGCACCGAGTCGGATAAATAGAAAAATAGGATTTAAATGATTTATTTAATTCACAAAACTTACAAAATCCATAACTTTGTGTAGAAATATTATAAAAATAAATGAAAAATATCATTTTGCTCAGTGAACAGAGGAGAATAATTTGAAATAAAAATTAAAATTATTTGACTTATATTTTATTTTTAATTAATTAAACACTCAAAAACTTAATTAAATCATATGTCATTAAATATTAATCACCTTGGATCATTAGGAGTGTTCTTTGATTTTTCCAAAGTCAGAGAACACATTCAAGTGTGGAAGCCCTAATTTTTAAGATAAATCACTTTTGTTTATTTAAAAAAA